TTTTTTGTTTTGATTAAAATAAAAATCCACAAAGATTGTGCACAAGACCCCCACAAAACCAAAAGCAAAACAAAACAAGGATGCCACTTATTCAAGGCAGATGAGTCATTTTGCACAGCTGTCAAAATCTATGTCTTCATTATACAAATCTATAATGGCATTTGCTTACATATTCAGCTGATGATCAGCGGTATGCTTTCCTTTAGGAACCATTCCTTGCATTATCTGCAGTCTTCTCCAGGCTGATATTTTCAACTTTTATGTTTTCCTCCTCTGCCAGTCAATGGCAATCACATTATGGCTCTCCCTGTGTGGCACATGCATTGGGTAACAGGGAGGGGCTGCACATTTTCAGCTGTAAATGTGTGAAAGGCAAATTCTTTTCTGAAAGTAAACAGTATCATAACCAAAAGACTGATGGTTTGACGTAGATAAATTTTAAAAATGTATGTTTATTTTATTACTCTGCGATTTGCCTACTGTTTCTCTTATTGATGTCACATGTCATTTACCTACGCACAGTTTTAGCCTTGGACTTAATGCTAAGTTCTATTCAGTACATCGCCAAATGCCTTTCAGGACTGTTGCCAAAAATATTCTCTTTTCTATCCAAAACTGACCTGCAGACTCTAATTCATTCACTTACAGCATCTAGCCTTGACTACTGTAATTCCTTGGTTTGCTGGGCTTGGAGCCAAATCGATTGGCAGACTCCAGCTTACTCAGAATTCAGCAACAAGGCTTCTGACCCAAACCACGCCAACTCTATATCCTCCCTATGCTGCGAATCTATATTTGAAAAGCATGTTATACATTTAATGTAACAGTTTCCTTTACACTGTAATTTTATGGGTGGAATTTTTCTTTTACCCGCATGTCAACTGTCGCACTCTTACAGAATTTTTCTGAGCTAAATTGCCACATATTCTACTCTTGCACTTACAGTAACTTGGTGCAAAGCCCTTTTCATCCTGTATCCCTAATTGGTGGAATCTGGAGTTAAATTCTACATGAAATCTGATTATTTTATCTGCCAGAGAAGGTTTTTGTTTTTATTTTAACACATTGTGTTTCACTTTCTATTTTGTTTATTATTTGTCATAAGGTGTTGTAAAACATTTAGTTGCTGGTGTTCTTTATTATTGCACACACGAAATTAAAAATAATCATGTATGCATGGCAGCTGATAAAATAATAAGCAAAAGAAAAATTGAGTACTTCTTGTCTCCTGAATCCAAGGAGAAATTTCAGCCTTCTCTCAACCATGTATTTAAAATAGCCTGCTTGATAAATGTAATGGAGGATAAAAGTGTGCTTTCTACCTCTTAATCTACAGATGAGGCTATACTTTGGTTCTCATTTATTTATGTTCTTCTCTGGTAATACCATTTTCAAATATCCTGTATCAAATATTCTCTTGCCCTGGAGATATTCTAATTTTCCCTTTAATCCAATCTTGTATACAGCTTCTGCAGGCATCATTTAAGGGATTCTGTTGTTATTGTTGTTCTTAGTTTTTCTAGTTATTTTTACGTTTATACTTGATAACAATACCCTATTCTGGTAGCATGATTTATGGCAAGAGAAACTAAGGTTTAAACTTTCATTTAATATGCTTACTATGAGCACCTCTAATAAAGTGTATTGTAGTTACACTGCATTTGTTAAACATTGACACTTGCATATCACTCTAGGCTTAGTTGTTTGGGTCTTTTTAGTTATTTATAGCCCATCAGAAAAACAATAAGATAATAATCCTTTGTTTGAAACATGCCACATAAATTACCAGCTGCAGAATAAGTTGTTAGGAAAGATGCAATTATTTGCATCCTGTAAGTTATATTGATAGGAAAAACAATGACATGGTGTGGACCCTTCCAGAACAATGTGGTTTTTTAAAACCTGATTTAAGTAAGGAAACAGCTTTGCATATGGTCAATGAAAATTTGATATAGCATAGAACTTACCAACAGATGTTTGATGATGAATATTTCATGTTACTTAATAATTCTACTTACCAGTCACAGTTGACAGTACAGCGCATCCTAGAGTTCAAGGTGCCTTAGAGAGATAGACATGGCCTGTTATTTCATTTTGGATATTTCTTTCTGGAGATCCGGAAATACTCTCAAAACCATGGTCAGCAAGTGAGACCGGGAACTGTTTCGCTCAGATTCTGCAGATATCAGCCCAAAATCTGGGGCTTCTCTTTGGAGAAATGTTACCCAAACATGGAGGAAAAATGCGTTAACTGGAGAGGTTCTCAGATAATACATACTCTCCTGGATTCCCCTTAGGGATGAATTTACCATCCTCATGGGCTGTGTGCTGCTGGATCACTTACCCATACAAGTATGACCCTGATCATGTTGGGGTACATTATCTCTCACCTACCAATTACCCAGAGCACAGGACTTATGCCAGCTTCAGGCTTCCAGGGTGTCTGTGGGAGAACGAATGAACCTTGATGCAACGTGAATTAACCTACGACCAAATGTGAACTGGCAGAACACATTTATATTGAATTGCCATCTCATAACACATGAATGCAGGATTTTGATGCAGTACAGATGTGAGACCGCTTTCCTGTACTGTCAAACCATGGCCTTGGCCGCTCTTTAGCTCTAATGTAATGCTTGAAGACCTTTAGATTGGGTGTTACCTATGGGTGTTTGTAGCACTTCATAGCCTAGATTGCTGTGTATATTGAAATTCCTGTATATATATTGACACTTTCTTTGAATACAGAGTAGTGGGATGTTGGTCTTTGATATAGATAATTCAGTTTTCTCCTCTACGTGTCTCTTTTTTATTAACGTTTGCTGTCTGTTGCGTAATATTTCTTTAAATGCCCTGATTTTTAACATCTAGTACTCACAGTATCCTATGTCCTTTAGTTTTTTTAATATCTGAAAGTTAGGTAAGTGAAGGAGATCCTTTTTCTGTGCACTTTGTCTCCTGCAGTTATGCAAGAAAAACTCTTTGACATCTTCCTAGCTTGTGTTTGCAATGAGGAGAGTTTCTGAAATGCTCAGATAATGACTTTTGATAAATCTTAGCACCCGTTCACAGAGTGGAAATTAAACACTTTAAAGTTCAAAGGTTTTTCAAAATTCAGATGATCTTATTAATACCTATTAGTGGAAAATGGCAAACAGCTCTTCCTCATATCTTTGTGAATCTTTTCTGCTTGAATTTCAACTTGCGAACTAAAAACACATTGTTAATTAAGCACAATTTTCTGAGTGCCTGGGTCACCAACACAACAACAGTAATTGAATTCTAGCCTCAGTTTCTGTACAAGTAATAATAGAGTGCCCTAGCATTTTCATTCTTTTCACATTAATTGAATAAATATACACAGCATAACTTCCCTGATACATCCAACCTTTGCTCCAAACAAGTTCTAATAAGCTGAAATTATCACATCTGCTATTAAAACTTGAATGGATCACTAATCTATCAGATCATCCCAACAGTTTTGAGGCACATCCTTTAGTAAAAACTACATATAAGTATTAATTTTAAAGTATGACAAATATTTTCTATGGCTTTAAAAGTTAATTAACCAGTGCTAATGATTGCAAAGAAAAAATCCTATATGTGATTCAAAATGTTGTAGTCCTCCTGAATCTGAAAGCAACCTGCAACAGTGGTAAAAAAGAGAATAAAAGAAATGTGCGTCTATTCCAGTGAGCGAGTAACTTTCAGATCTAGAGGTGAAGGATACATAGCTGACTTACTAGGTGAACTCACTGTTTTAGGAAAGATAGGTTGTTATGTACAATAAGATCCTCTACATGTGTGACTTGAGGGGAGAAGGAGAGCAGCCATCGAGAAAATTGGTGAGAGACCAGAGCAGAAGGCATTACAGCACTCCTGCCACCATTTCTCAGTGAAAGAGAGGGAAGGGAGGTGATGCAAACTGCGTCTTTACAAAACATCAGGCATTGTTTCTGCCCAGGAATCTAAAGAGATAAATAGCCAAGAACCTTGTCAAAGAGTTGAAGCGTTTTTCAGTTCGATTTCATAGGTTGGCACAGCTGCTCACTCAGGATCACAGCCTCTGTAATTTGTAGAAAATCTGGATTCCCTGGTGGTCCTTCAGTTAACTGTGATGGGATCAAGGCAACTTACATCTTGGCACAACCCTTTTTAGGCAGATCGCTGTTGCGGAAGAGCAATGTTGCTTGTAACTGATGCGAAAAGAAAAGAGTGTTGGGACGAAAGGTTCTGATTTAGGATGAACAAGTAGCTAAAAACTTAAGGATCTTAATTGTCCTAGATAATTGCCCTAAATATTGATGTCTGGCTTCAGAACAAATTCATTAAAGTTGAATGAGGGAAGCCCATTTCACATCTCTTCTTCATCTTATATACACAAAAATGTGACTGTTCATGTACATAAACATACATAGGCCATGGGCACAGGACAGAATGATCTACCACAGGTGAGCCTGTTTATATGAAATAGCAGAGAAGCAGGAGCGGCAGCTACAGAATGCAGCATTAATGTACGGTTTAGCCCTTTCCGTCTGCTGGTAAATTCCCTCTATCACATAGCCACCCTTCAAAGCAGAGCCTGCTTGTCTTTCACGCTTTCGTTTGTACAGCCTTCTCAACTGTACGCAGCTGCCACAGGGGAACATGCGTCAGGTTTATGCCTCGAGTGCCATTTCTGTAGTCGCACGCCTATAGCCACAAACGCAAAGGCACGTGGCTGTGCAGCGTTGCAGCAGAGGTCACTGGGAAGCAGCTGCATGCATGTTCTTTGGTACATAGTTTTAAGTTGTGTAGACTAAAGTTATGGAGGCAGACTTGAAGGGAGACATCTCCAACATTGATAAAATGTAAGTACGAAAGACACATCATTGGATGGATATTGATGATGTTGTTTCAGTAATGACATCATCCATAGACTCCTAGTGTCTTTGCTTTGCTTCTCTATAGTGATCACAACATAAATTGCTTGTCTTGTTTGACTTCCTTGTTCACCAAAGTTGAGCAGATTGTCGCCGTTTTCAACGCTTCTACCAGACAAAAAGCTTGGGACCATTTCTCGAAAGCCCAGCGAAAGAACATAGACATTTGGCGAAAGCATTCTGAGGTTGGTGATTTTATTATTACTTTTTATCCATCATCTCACAGCTGGATTGACACAGAACGAGTGTGACTGTAGCTGGACATAGTGTATATTCAGCAATATTTACAGCTACCGTTTTAGCTGTTAATCAACTGGCCACTATACAGTCTCATCTACAGTATGAATTGCTCCCATTGCTCTCATCATGATAATAGTCATTAAATAACACTAAGACAGAGAGCATGTGTTTTTATTTTTCATGCGGATTTGGGAAATCATTGGAGGATTATGTTTACTATCTAAAATAATGAACTGAAGTAGTGAAATTAGGAAAAATATTTTCAACTAAGGATAGAAATAAGAATTATTTCTAGAAAATATCTTTTTAGGAGTCATCGTGATCTGTTTTTAAAAGTATTCTGCAGCACAGATTTTTTTTTTCTTGTTGTGCCATCATCTGGTCATTATAAGATGACTTTGCCTGAAAATAAAATAGAGAATTTCTTTCCTAAGTAATGACTTAAGCATATTAAGCCCAGAATTACGAGATACTCCTTCCCATTTGTTTTATGTTTATCTTTAAAAAAGTAGATACATCACTTGTATTGATTCTAAGTATTATGCTTGCAAAGAAACCAGTATGAATGTAATCATAGTACCACACAGAGTTAGCAATGTGGGACCATGCATGTGTGACTGTCATAAGCATGAGCAGAGGAAATGGGATTCTAACTCCCCTTGCTGCGAGTGGCAGCAAAGGAAGCGATAGACCTCATCCTGTGTTTTGGTCATCCAGCTTTCGTTTTTAATTCAGTATAAACGCTATGAGCCTGTATTTTAAAAAGTAAGTACCGCTGTCTTTGTTTTCTTTCTTCTTCCGTTTTGGTTTCTTTTTTTAATGTGAGCAACTTACATGCAGTTGGTTCACCTTCATGTAGTAGAGCATGTTGATTTTTAGTATCACAGTCCTCTAAATGATTTTTCTCTGTCTCAGAATAAAAACTTTAGAAGGTAAGGTGCACTTATTTAATTATTTTGTAGTACACTTGTAAAATAAGTGTTGTACACTTAGTTTAAGAAACACTAAAGTGCTGTGATATAAATCATTTGGATAACATTTTAAGTGCCCATTAACTAATGCTAAATTACAGTTGAATACCAATGGCACTAAATGTAACATCCACATGAATACCAAATGAATTCTTTATTATCAGTGCTATTATGGTGAATACCAAATGACTTCACAATAATGGGACACTTAAAATAAAATGTTGGCATAATTTATTGGTACAAACTGTGTTTTGCATTTTGTTCACAAATATTTCATATAAATAGTGGATAAAGCCTTTGTTCAATTGAAAATTGGGAAGTTGGGGATCAATGTTTGTCTTATCTTTTAGAGATGTATGAAAATATGATTTGCTAGTAGCTTATTTCAATCATATTAAGACCATCCCTTCTTAAAAAAACTTTCTGTAAAGGGATGTGGTATGTCATTTATTTGCTGGCTTCTAAATCTTTAATAAACTGAAATGTGTAAGGGTTGCACTTTCCAGAAACATTGATTCGCTACTCACTTCTTCAAATACTTTCCTTCTGTTTTTCTAAGAAGAAGACAACAAAAACAGTTCAGAAACATGCAAAGGCTCTCGCTGAACCAATATATTTTAGGAATGACAGTTTTTCAGATGTGAAATATGATGGAAATGTGCCAAATGGCATCTTTGATTTAAATCATATTTTCTAAACGCGACATTATCTGCCAATTTGTTTAATCACCTGATCACTTTCCCTTTTTTTCTGAATTTAAGAAAGCTTTGCTAGAAACCCACACACAGAACAAACACTCATACACATGGACATTCTCCGTGGAAGATTATTGGCTCTGCTGATAATGTAGACATTGATTCATCAAGGACATTTATCCCCTAAAGAGGGAGTAAATGTGAGGGGATTTCTGCTCATGTGTGCAGTATACTTCCCCAGGAAAAAGTGCAGGTGGCTTTTTCCAATAAGGAATTAAGAAACGGTTTCCTAATTTATTATGCCAGAGGTGCCTCTGACTGCATGAGACGCTGGTTGACAATTTACCTTTTTAATAATTTCTTTCCAATTTGAAACTATTCGAATGTAGAATGCCCACTAATTAGCTTCCTTGCCTTTGCTGGGATTAATGGACACATACACATTTATCAGGATATTTGAGATCTGCCCATGAACCAAGGGTACAGCTCCAGGGAAACGCCTTCCCTTTTTTCACCCAGTCCCTCTCCGACAGCTTATTGTTAATTGCACGGAGCAGCGGTCAGGCTCCTCAATGCCGTCTCCTCCTTCCATGCAGCTCTTCCTTGTTTCAAAGACTTCAAACCACCTCTTTGGGAATTAGGCTCTTTGTCGGCAGAAAAATTAGCTGTCTGTGGGCTGAAAAGGCCTACACTAATCACGGTGCAGCATCCCCGTGTTACACCTGACAGGATTATTAGGACAAAATAGAGTCCTCTCAATCTTCTCAGCGCTGCCATTAAAAAGCCAGCCGCTACACCCGCGCCGGCTTTTCTACCCAGAACAAAGACCGTCTAGACTCCCACAAAGCCCGCTGATCATTCACCTAGCGACATGTGCACGGGCTCCCTGCCCGCCGGCCTGCCCTTGCGCTGGTCGCCCGGGGACCGGCATGTCCGTGCTGGCACTTGCTTTGGACCAAGATGCAGAGATTTTTCAGGACGGCATTATTGGGCTGGGTTTTTTATACCCGAGGCGATCTGGGCATAGGGAGAGAGGGCGGGATTCCTTCGCCCAGCGTCAGGCACCCAGAATATAGAGAGCTCCATCTGCCGTGGCTGCTCTCGGCTGCCTTTACCATCAGCAGAGACAACCAGGCACTTTTACGGTATAGTTAATATGACTTTGTTTGGTTAGTTGCTTTGTGGATGTGAATCACCTTAAAGTGCCTGTTTCTTCGCATTTCTGGGAAAGGTGCCTGAGCGGGAACTAGTTTTGCTGGAGACACCTGCACTTGGCCGGATGAATGCGAGCCCAAGTGGCAGAGAGAAGCAAGAATCATCTACACCTTCAGCAGGCTGACCATCTCTTTACCAATCTGCTTTATACACAATTTTAAGCATTATCTCTGCTGTTAAAGCATTCTCATACATTTAGCAGAACTAAAGATCACTCACCACTGAGACTCACTTTCTCTCTGTTTTTCCCCTGAGTGTTACCTTTCATAAACTCTGTTCTTTCACAGGAAGAATTCCCTGTGCTACTGTTGTTATAAATATTCATGTACAAATAAATATGATTACAATGATAAATGATGTACAATTAAAATCAGAGCAGTATTAAAAAGAGATACTAAATAATACATAATGGCTTCATGGAAGTTAATACTGACAAAAGGTCATTTTGGGTTTTAGGAGCTCCGAAATGCTCACAGTGAACAGCTCATGGGAATCCGCCGGGAAGAGGAGATGGAAATGTCCGATGATGACAGTGGTGACAATCCCAGTAAAAAGCTGAGAGTAGATGATTCAGGTAAAGCCAAATACCTCTATATACAACTGCTGGGTTTTTTAAAAACAAACAAAACCTTACATATGAGAAGTGAAATATGAATAATTGAATATATAAGACAGAATCTTGTTTTAAACCCTCATAAATTAGTTATTTGAATGATGCAAGCTGCCTCTAAGAGGTGTTTGTCACCTGCTATGATATAAAACGATGAAAATTCTCCAGTTCTGCCCTTGGCTTGAAGTATTGTGTTTCTTTTAGCATGCTCTCTGCAGTCTTGCGTAACAGTACTTCATTCCATGGTTGTAACAATGTCTTATTACGAGACCAACTGAAGTTATGTTTTGGTCAGTATTCTCTAAGCCTTACTTTCTTTTCAACAAATACGTAATACTCTATGAGCTCTCTAAAAAATACACCATACCATTTTAACTGTGTGTTTTCTGGAATTAACATTTAAGGGTGCGTGTTTCAAAACATGATTCTGCACACTGCATTAATTTGACACTCATTAGATGTCTATCATGAAGAATCATAGAATCATAGAGTCATAGAATCATAGAATAGTTTGGTTTGGAAGGGACCTTTAAAGATCATCTAGTCCAACCCCCTGCAATGAGCAGGGGTATCTTTAACTAGATCAGGTTGCTCAGAGCCCCCTCCAAACAGACCTTGGAGAGGTGTTCCATTCCTCTGGTCATTTCTATGGCCCTCGTCTGGACCTGTTCCAACAGGTCCATGACTTGCCTGTGCTGAGGGCTCCAGAGCTGGACACAGGACTCCAGGTAGGGTTTCACCAGCGCAGAGGAGAGGGACAGAATCACCTGCTTCGACCTGCTGGCCACGCTGCTTTGCATGCAGCCCAGGAGAAGGTTGGCCTTCTGGGAAGTGAGTGCACATTGCTGGCTCATGTCCAGCTTTTCATCCGCCAGTACCCCCAAGTCCTTCTCCACAGGACTTCTCTCGACCCCTTCATCCCCCAGCCTGTATTGGTACTGGGGGTTGCCCCGACCCAGGTGCAGGACCCTGCACGTGGCCTTGGTGAACCCCATGAGATTCACATGGGCCCATTCCTTGAGCTTGTCCAAGTCCCTCTGGATGGCATTCCATTCCTCAGGTGTGTCAAATGCACCACTTAGCTTGGTGTCATCTGCAAACTTGCTGAGGGTGCACTTGATCCCACTTGTCTGTGTAATTGATGAAGATATGAAACAGTACCGGTCCCAGTACGGACCCCTGGGGAACACCACTCCTCACCAATCTCCATTTTGGCATTAAGCCATTGACCACTACCCTCTGGATGCAACCACCCAACCAATTCCTCATCCACCCAACAGTCCACCCATCAAATCCATCTCTTTCCAATTTAGAGAGAAAGATATTGTGGGAGACCATGTCAAAGGCCTTACAGAAGTCCAGATAGACAACATCGGTAGCTCTTCCCTTGTCCACTGATGTGGTCACTCCATCCTAGAAGGCCACTAGGTTGTCAGGCAGGACCTGCCCTTGGTGAAGACATGCTGACTGTCTCAAATCACCTCCCTGCCCTCCTTGTGCCTTAGTATGCCTTCTAGGAGGATCTGCTCCATGGTCTTCCCAGGCACAGAGGTGAGGCTGACGCGTTGGTAGTTCCCAGGGTCCTCTTTTAAACCCTTTTTAAAAATGGTGCAATGTTTCCCTTTTTCCAGTCACCACGGACTTCATCTGACTGCCAGGACTTTTCAAATATCATGGAGAGTGGCTACCCAATATTATATTCAAATTTTCATTCAACCATCTTGTCAGGTCCCATAGACTTGTACATGTTCAGGTTCCTCAGGTGTTCTCGAACCTGATATTCTCTTACAGTGGGAGGGACTTTGCTCTCAAGAGGTATGGGGAAAGAGACTGACAGTGAAGACTGAAGCAAAGAAGTTGTTGAGTACCTCAGCCTTCTCCTCATCTGTTGTTATCTGCCAGCTCTGTTCTGCTCCCTTGTCCGCAAAGGCAGTTTCCCAGGGGGTCCTATTGACAAACTCCTTCAAGAGCTGGACGTTTGCTTTCCAAAACTTCAGGGTCCTGACTTTACTCTTCCCTGCTCCATATTCCTCAGGACTGCAAACACCACCAGTGCATGATCACTGCAGCTCAGACTGCCTCCAATCTTGACATCACTGATTAGCTCGCTTGCGTTGGTGACCAACAGGTCCAGTATCACATGCCCTCTGGTAGGGCTGTCTATTACCTGGCTTAAGAAGTTATCCTCCATGCATTCCAGGAGTGTCCTGGATTGCCTACAGCTTGCCGTGCTACTTTTCCAGCAGATGTTGGGGTGGCTGAAGTCCCCCAGCAGGACGAGAGCCTGCGAGCGAGATGCCTCCTGTAGCTGGAGCAAGAAGACTTCGTCAATAGACTGTCCTTGATCAGATTGCCTGTAGTAAACACAAACCACAAGGTTCCCTTTGTTGCCTTGGTCTCTGATTCTTACCCATAAGCTTTCAAACTCTTCATGGCTATTCTTCAGAGACAGCTCTTCAGACTTCATCCATTTCTTGAGGTAAAGGGCAATGCCTCTGCCTCTCCTTCCTCACCTGTTCCTTCTGAACAGCCTGTAGCCATCAATAGCTGCACCAAGTTTCAGTAATGGCAACTAGGTGGTAGCTTTCTAGCAGCAAAAGAACAAGGGTGCATTTAATATGAGTAAAGAAAAGCAAGTTTTTCAGCCTTCTACAAATACTCTGCTATGCAGGGCGGACACCAAGAGGTAGCTCAGAAGCTGCCTGAATTATTGACTGGTAACATGATTTGGATGGATTCTTTGCTTGACTTCTTGACATTGGCTAATGAAGTTATGAGTAGCTAGCAAGGGTTTGCTTGTTTAGACACTCATCTTCAGAAGGAAAATGTACAGAAGCTGAAGCCAAATCATGACTGGGAGCTGCCAGCCAGCAGTGAGGTTTAAGGAAAGTAAAGGAGGGAGTAATATGGAAAGAAATTGAGAGTCTTATGATGAGGGTAATTTTGATCTAGTCCTTTGAATAGGCACCATATTAAGAAAGGAAAGAATTTCATCCATTCAATGGTTTCAAGTCCTTGTATGCCAGCACAAAAGTGCAGACTCAAGCTTACATGAAGAAGAACTCTTTGGCTCCTCCTGTGACAAGATGCTGTGTGAGGTCAAATGACTCTGGAAGTATAGACTGAAGGAAGGAGTGTCATTCTAACAAAGGAATTTTTACTACAGCATCTCTCTTGAGGGGAGATTTAATGTTTTTCCTGGAAGAAAAATGAAACAATAAAACCTATAAAGGGCAGCCTTAATTTTTGCTTGGCTAATTGTGTGGGTTTGAATTTTCTAGACACCATTAGCAAATGTTTGGAGCTGAGACAGTGGGTCTCTGCAGATAAAGCACTGCTAGCAATCAGAGATTTTTATGAATGTCTAATCATTTTACTTTGACTGTGTCCACTCTTACAGAGGGAAGTCATTAGAATTAACAACAGGAAGGTAGAGCCAGAAATACCTACAGCCTGCACGCTGGAAGAGTAGTAATGATGTTTTGAACTGTCATACTTATCAGTTCAGCTAGGTTTAACATATGCATGCTTAGGGCAGAGATATGCTGGTCATTCTTTTTGTAACAACACAAATAAGAAAGTGTCTTCGGCTTTCTTCCATGAAAAAGGACATTTCTGTCAAATGTTTTGATATCTTAACTTTGTCCAACCATCCCAAAAAACTTCAGTTTATTTATATTGTTATAATGTGGTCGCTTGAGTGCCCCCCAGTGATAACAGTAGCAAAACCAGTACTGGTTGCATGCTAAATCAAAATTTAGTGATATGAATCCACTTGAGTACTTGTCCATCATCATTCATTGTACCATTCATCATCCTCTTGATCTCAGTGGAGTTGATCCAGCCTGCTGCATACATAGAGTCATCTAGTTCTAAAATCAATTGTATAGCTTTATTTTTCCAACATTACATTCTCACCTAAAGCAAATGGATTTGATTCCTCTACCATTGACAATAGAGGGAACTTGGAGTTAAATCAAAAAAGTTATTTGGTATAAAACACAGATAAATGAAAAGAAAGTGAGAGAAATATATTTATTTTTTCATTTTTATGTACAGAGAAGTGATTCTTTCTTTGTTCTTTCAGCATTTTTTTTAAATTACTGTTTCTGTTAGCCGCCTTCTCTGTTTTTTTCTTTCCTTTTGAGTATGCCATTCCAAAACCACCTCTTTATCTCACTGGAGTGGCTATTTGTATTCATAGTAACCTCTGTTCTACAAAGAATGTCTTTTAAAGAATCTTTTATCACAAAGAAACAATTCTGCACAGTAAGAAAACATTGGCACTTTCTTCATTTTTAACCCCTTTTCTTGAAATGTTTGTCAAAATGTGTAACGATGGGAAGGGCCAGGCTTGAATAACACAAAGAAGATATTGTGCCTCTTCAACTCAAGGGCAGCATGCACACATAAAGGCTTAAAAGTCTAAATCCGAAAGTGGCTGAAGCAACAAGACGTGATAAATTGGTTTGGATTGTTCCAGAGTTCTGAACTGCCTGTCCTGCTATCCCCACGATTTTCTTGAGAACATTATTTCTCAGCCTACCCTACTTGACAGTGGGAGTAACGCTCCTGGGAAGTTACCATCCCCAAAGCTACAAGTGACAGAGATTCCCCCAGGTTCCAACACCTGTTTCAGGTCTTCTTTTCACTAGTTCACCTAGTTAAATCACCCCTAGTACAAGAAGGCTCAATTAATTCGACAATTTAGAATGGGTCCCGGCATTCTGTCTTGGTAAAGTGTAGTTTCAGCAGTCTCCCAATGTAATTTCTTCTGTTAACTCAAGCCTTTGTCATTCAGAATTAACTCCACTTCTGTGAGCATCTAGATAGTATGGTGCTGAGTGTATCACATTTCCTCACAGCTAGATTGGTTAGATTGAAAACTCTCCTCTAGGATTTCTAAAAAGAAACCTATTCATCACTCTGAAAAAAAAAGGGTGGATTCCAGTCCCAACATTTGA